AGTTTTTCTTCTCCCTATTCTCCTCTCTCCAAGCTCTATCAATCTCCTTCTTCTTCTCAACATTCCTCCCCACCCACCTTTTCCATCTGTCTAAGCACACATTACAAGTCGCATTCTTTTCATTAAACATTCCCAATTCCTTATTACATCCACACTGTCCACACCTTCTCTTCTCCACTTCCTCACCTCCACCCTGAGCATTCTTAATATGCGTATTTGTTTTCTTATGCTTCCCCCATCCACTTTTCCTCACATTGCACTCACACACCTGACAATACACATTCTCAAACTTATCACCTTTCATCTCCTTAGTACCTATTGCTACTATCCCTTTAAGTATTGGTCAGGTGAACATCCCCCATTGGTCTCTCATAGAAGAAATTAGAATAGTAAATATCTAGTTTATAGCATTATATAAATATTTATCTGATCAACTCTTCTGGGATTATGTATAATTCCTTCTGATTAAACAATGTATAGTTTTCAAGTTTTCAGGCCATGTTTCCTTCCTATTGCTAGGTGCCCTTTGTGCTGTTTCCCTATGCCTATTCCCTTCCATTTGTACGCAGTTCTTTTTACATAATGGTTTAGGTGTCCAAGTTTTTATATTTGTCCAAAGTCTGGTGCGTTTTCTGTATGCCATTCCATCTTTACAATAATCAACATCAAAAAACAAAGTTTTTCATAAACTCTTGCTCCTTCAAAAGTCCGGTCTGGGGGGTTTTCAACGAAAACATTTGGATCAAAATAGTTTATTATGTCAATAGCTTTCTTCACTGTTTCATTTGCTTCATCAATTTTTCTAGTGCCTGTTTGTTTTGCTATGATGTATTCAGTGCAAGGCGGGGATGACCAAGTAACATCAAAGTCGTTGTCAAATTTATTATAATCAAATTTCAAAATATCCTCATTGATACTAGCATTTTTAAGATCAAGTGATATAATAGTATAACCAAGTTCTTTAACAATTCTTCCAACACTACCTGTGCCTGAAAATATAGGGGTTCACGAAATGATGGCACAAGTAAAATGGTTGAAATATGCCATCAAAGATTAAAGATTTCAGCGCAAAATTGAGCTTTGACAATAGGAACACTCAAATGACATACCAATACACTGAAGCAATGGCAGGGCCGCTGTGAGAGCGGGGTTCTTTGAGAGTGCTGGGGTTGCATTCACAAAAGAAAAGTAAAAGAGAGGGAGGAAGGCAAGCAGGGAGAGAGGGAGGGAGGGGGAGGAAGGGAATGAGGAAATGACATGCACTAACACAGGAACAGCATACTGAGAGGAGAGGACCATTATATACAACAATGGTAGGTCCGCTGCGAGAGCAGGGCACAAAGCAAAAGGGAAAGAAGAGGCAGGGAGTGAGGAAGGGAGGAGAATGAAATGAATTGAACATAGGAACGCTAAGATGGTACACCACACACAAAGAGAGAGAGAGAGAGGGAGTTACAGAGAGTGAGAGAGTGAGAGTGAGAGTGAGCTAGTCTCATACTAGAATCCAGCAAATGGAATGAAGTCCAAGAGAAGGAACAAAGGAAAGAAACTATACAGACAGGAAAGGACACCCCCAAAAAAACACACATAATATATATATACGTATATAAGATGAGATAAGGCGCCTGCTGCACAGGCTACCTTATTTGATCTTGGTTAAGCCTTTGTTCAGGGAGCCGCGGTGGGAGAGAGAAAGAGAGAGAGAGGAACTAACATAACTAAGGACGTCCTGGAACCCCTGGCAAGTAATTGAGGTATGTCCAAACAGGCTAAAGGGCATGAAAAGAATACTAAATAGAACGGCAAGGATAAAGGCAGTTGAAAGGATGCGAGGAAAGAGTGGTATGCATTGAACATAGGAACGTTAAGATGGCACGTGAGGAAATGATATGCACTAACGCAGGAACAGCATACCGAATGGAGAGGACCATTATATACAACAATGGTAGGTCCGCTGCGAGAGCAGGGCACAAAGCAAAAGGGAAAGAAGAGGCAGGGAGTGAGGAAGGGAAGAAGAATGAAATGAATTGAACATAGGAACGCTAAGATGGCACACTACACACAAAGAGAGAGAGAGAGAGGGAGTTACAGAGAGTGAGAGAGTGAGAGTGAGAGCGAGCTAGTCTCATACTAGAATCCAGCAAATGGAATGAAGTCCAAGAGAAGGAGCAAAGGAAAGAAACTATACAAACAGGACACCTACAGTGCATGACACTCTTGGGGCTGCTGGATGGAAAAGGTTTTTTGCGGAAACTGAGTTTCTGGTGTGGGAGAACTGGAAAGCGTCGACAGAGAGAGAGAGAGGGAGAGAGAGAGAGAGAGACCAGCAAACAGAGTACAACACCTTTAAGGCCTGCAACAAACAATAAGATGGCATACCAGCCAAACGGCTCTAGTAGATTACAATGCCGATCCCCCCAAGCATCAACTGACCACTATGATGGCACACATGGCCCTTTCAGATCCTCGATGTGTTTCATCAAAAAGTGCATATATGCCATGTATTGTCTCGATTCCTGTGTGCCATCAAAGTGTGAACCTGTATAATTGTTATAATTTCATAACAATATGTTGTCATAGAAAATATATTATCATGAGTATGTTTCAGTGTCTTCATCATAATCAATTTTGTAACATTGTATGGTGGTCTCTTTAGGTTGTTTTATTATTTTTGAATTCAACATTTCTAAATACTGCTTCCTTTTGGTTTCAAAGTCCCCTACTGGTCTACCTATGCTTTTCTTTTCAGATGCTTCTCCATTTTCCTTAAATCATTTTTTCTCATTAGTCTTTTCATCAATGGTTTTTAACAACTGTAAGATCAATTTAAGACTATTATTATATCTGTTCATTTTCTTTATCAGCTCATCCATTTTATCAGTATTATCTAAAGTAATAGATCCACCATCATCGTTTGAAACTTTCATAGTCTTATCTTATCACTCTTGCTGATTTTAAAGCTATATGGGTTACACTTACACTTTTTGCCTTTAGTGTTGATTTCAATTTCATTCTCAGTTGTAGTTTTCCCTGGCATAAAGGACAGTCAAAGGTAATGAATTTGCTTGTTAGTTTTTGTTCTTCATCTAGTTTTATTGTTGTTGGTTCTTCATCTGCTAGTTCAAACTCTTCGGGGATTTGTGTTTTATTCATCTTTGTTGTTTTTTTTGGTCTTTTTTGGTGGCATGTATAATATTACATTTTAGATAAGTAATTATCAATTTTGACATTTCCAGTGAGTATTTACAACACTGCTTAAGTTTATTATCTTTAACAACTGGATATTTAGCACTATCATTTTTTTCCATATCATCTCTTCCTGTTATATAAGCATCATGTTCAGATAGCGTCATAATATATAACTATAATTAGATAATGCTTTAACACCATCTAATTATGTAGTGCTTGGGAGAACACTAAAAACGAATTCAACTGTAAGGGCAAAAAATCCATTGCTGAAAAGCAAACTAATTACCGACTTATGCGGATTAGCGTAGCCTCACCTACCGCACTCTGTCCATAGGAGATCTGCTAATATTTAATAATGTTTTCTATGTATGTTTATTAATAGATGAATAATAACACCGCACCACATATTCAACCTATCAAAGAAATCAATTATGAATTCACTCAATCAAAATATGCTGTTGCCTCTAAAGTGCCCTTTAGATCAATCATAACCGGTCCGTCTGGTAGTAGCAAATCAGTGCTACTAACAAACATGAATATGGACACCTACAAGGAAGTTTTTCAAGGGTGTATATCTGGTCACCTTCAATAAATGTTGATAGCATCTGGTTGCCAGTCAAGAAATACATAAAGGAAGAAATGAAAGTGAACACTGGTAAAGAGCAGGTTTTGTTTGAAGACTTTCACAGTGAAGATTTAATGAAAGTCATTGAAACACAACATAGAATAACTGAATACAGTAAAAAAAACATAAATAAAAAAAACAATCCTAATAGTCTTGGATGATATAGCAGATGATCCCAAAATAGCAAAATATTCAAACATATTTGATTCCCTTTATGTAAGAGGTAGACACAATGGTATTAGTGTTATAACATCTGTTCACAAATTTAATGCACTGACCACACTGATAAGAGTTAATGCCACACACCTATTCTTCTACAAGGTCAGCAACTTTAAAGAAATAGAACTGTTTCAAAAAGAACTATCAGCAATACCTAGAAGAAAAGAAACAATATCCAAGAAAGTAAGCAGGTCTTATATAAACTTTATGAAATAGCCACTGAACAGCCACATATGTTTTTAGATATTAATCTTCTGGAAAAGGATAGGAACAAGATGTTTATGATCAATTTTTCACACTATTTGCAAATTGATGATTGATAATGTTAATATGATCAATCTTTATACCAATGAAGGAGCACAAATATTATAGCAGGTAGTTTATACATAATCCTATTCGATTTCAGGATGTGAGCAGCTGGGAAGGTTCGTCAAGGGTACACATTCTATCACGAGCGAAATGAACCCCAAAGGTCCCTACCACATATATATATATATATATGTGTGTATATTTACTTGCTCATACATTATCCAATGCATGGAAATCAATTGGCTTGGTGGACGAGGGCCTCTTCGCAACAACCGTTTTCTAGATTCCTGTGTTTGATTGCAGACTGGGCAGGTCCAGTAGCAACGGGTCTCATGGCCAGTGAAGAAACAGGTGGCCAGGCTGGCCACTTGAAGCGGGCTCAGAAGAACCACACAATAATGCAGGTCTTTGAAGACTCCGAACTTAGTGCATAAGCATGTAACTTTGCTGTGTTGTCAGAAGCTAAGCAGCAAATTAATGCTGCCATGATAGGATCTCATAAGGGCAATTGACTGCAAACAAAAACTTGGATGTCACTCCCAAGCTTATTATATAACTGCCTGGGGCCTGGGGTGTTAAACCTCACCCGAACTTGCTCAACTTGAAGACCTCGCCTCGTGCTGTTGGACCACTGACCTCCCCCAACCGTCCAAGCAGCAGACAGGCTCGGCTCGCTGTTACTTCGCACTATCGGCGAGTGAGATGGTCGCAAGGTCTCTGGCCTACGGCGAGCGGCAGGAGCATGAGCGCCGAGGGCTTGGCGTCCAGGTTTACGGGGTCACCAAACAAAGGTCAAGGTGTCCGAGAAACTGATGTTATTTTTTACAAGAAGTTCCTCACCAAAAGCTTTGGTGCTCCGCCATCTTCACCGAGCAAATGACAAGGCCCAAAGTGGTTTGGATGAGCCTATTACCAAATGATGATACTGTATCACTGGGCTCATAAGAAGGCCTATTTACACACATCCTTGAGATCACGCATCCACGTCTTTGTCACTTCGCCGCATGTTCCGCACCTCACCAAGTTCTGGCCTTCCAACGGCAGCTCCTCTTGCGTGGCGACCACACCGAAGCCACCCACCGACTTCAAGTTGCCTTCCGACGGGTCGACGCGCGCCCGACAAAAACCGAGCGACTTCTTAGGCCATAGGACCTCTTAGGCTCATGATTGATCTCAAGCCATACTTGATGTTGATGGCAAGCAGTTTGCAAGGACCGCACGTTTGGCCAAGTGCGAGCTAGTCAGTCAAGTGGTTCTCTCTTGTCCACTGAAAGTAAATTCACTTGGTGAAGATCCGTTTTCCAAGCGACTACCACTCTCCAGTGCGGCATGAGCAAACATGGTGGAGCGCACTGCCATGGCTGTTTCTATGACGAAGGACTCAGGCCTCAGAAGATGCCACGTGATGCAACACGAATATGCCCTTTGCTCCTAGTAGCTTCTTGCTCCTATATGGGAGTATGTGGGTGTGTGTCAAAATCTGGACCCCCAAATCATGTAGGTTGGCCTCCCCGGCCAGTCTATTCCTCTTCATTAGGGTGGTCAGCCCAGGTCTCCCGGTTTTGACCCGGCCCACTGCCATATAGTTATATAGTATACATATAGTTGTATAATGTTATACATATACATATGTTAAAACATGTGATGTAAAACCATGTACAGTAAAACCTGATTCGTTGTGGAATAGGTTTAGAGATGTCTCAACTTTTAAGACCAACCAAAACTGTTGCGAAGCATCCCGCCTTTCCGCCTTTGACCTGAATGTCTTCTGCACAACAACGACATCGGTATGGAAGTGCACCCACCCCTCAACCCCCAAGAGGAGCAAGGACGCTACGAACAGGGATTCCAAAGGTGAGAAAGGCAATTTGCTTCTCTTGCCGTGCCCAGGCGCAGGTCGCGTGCACCACGAGCCTCTCCTAGAGGGAGGGTTTGACGTCTGGGCAGGCCTAATCACCTGAAAACTAGCAAACCGAGATGGGCAGGTCCAACCCTTATAGGGATACATGACCCTTATCACAGACCCGTAAGGCAAATTCTCGTGGTGAATTTGGCACTTTGGAGTTCTCGTGCATTGCCGCATGCAGCGCCGCCTTGGCGAGTTGAGGGTACGGTAACACCATCCACACTGTTTGACATCAACAAGAAATGTGATCAAGTCTCTCAAGCGCGCGGCTGTCACATCCTGGTTTTCTTGCAGTGAGTATCGGCATCTTGTTTCAGCCCCAACTTGACTTGTCGATTGCAAGGCATCGGTATGGGTTATCCCATGTTTCCCTTGCCTGCAGGGACAAAGCAGCGATGCATCTGGCACATCGTAGGGATGTCTTCGCTGTGTTTTCCCAACGAATCTGTTCTGCTCTTCCCAGCGAAGAGTCACCATCCACGAGCGCCACTACTCCCGCTAGGGTCTGTCCTTGTCGCCACCGTTGATACATCTCCTTAGACATTGGTATCTTCTGCAGCTGACATACCTAATGGGTGGTTCAGTATGCAGTGTCATGGATAGTGTTGAGATGTGTTGAGTTAGTTCATGTTTGCCTCGGGCCCCATGTCAGCACGAATCTGAGATAGGTTCAAGTCTGTCAGCAAAAAGAAGCTACAAATTCGATCCAGCCCATTTGTTGACCTTGAAACTTGTCTACAGTATATCAATGTCCACAAGTAACTGCGTATGTGCATGCATATACATATGTGTTCACTTTAGATTGACATGTATTGCATCAGTATATATCTAGTCCTTGCTGACACTTGTCATCTCACCCGAGACTGACCGCATTTCCAGCATACTGTGTCCTAGAAGCAAACTTCCTCTTTAGAATTTTAGAATGGAGAGAAAAGATGCAATTCTGGGCTAATTACTGGCTCATTCTTTGAGTTCTTGAATCCGACTGTTGAGTCTGCAAGACTATGGTTTTGAACCTACCTATCTGTCACAAAGCAACAATCACGGGAGGTATGGCTGTAATTGTATGATTGGCAATCTCCTGTTTCCAGGACCTATAAGAAGAATTGCACACCCCACCAACGATTCACTTCATTCCATGTCTCCCGATAGTGGTGGTCGATGGGAAAGATGGCTGGTGGCAACTCCAGGATTGTCACTCGCTGAGATCGTGGACGCTGGGAATCACCTGACGTGGGAACTGGCCATGGAAGTTTGCAGCTCCCTTCAGGTTGCGCCTCCACCAAAATCCCCCAAAGGCTATCCTCAAGTATCCAAAAGCCTGTCTGTTAACTCTTCGTTGGGGTCTGTTTTTAAAAGACACACATGATGCATCGATGGCCGGTTCCCAGCTCCGTCCGCCTTCCACGAAGACCATGACGACGAAGGAAATCAATATCAAAGAACAACCCAAGTCCTCGGAGACCATCGGAAGACATTGGAGACCATCGGGACAGAAGAAATAGAAACAAATATCCAAAGACAACAGCGCCATGCTCAACCAGCCCGCACCAGCAGAAGCTCTGTCATGCACTCATGTTGCCGAAAATTGGGGGAAGTAGTGGCAACTAGTGGCCATAATTCATGTAGGGCGGGAAGGATTTCTTGTGACTTATTTTTACTTAAGATTTACTTAAGCATTTGTTTGGGGGATACAAGTACAGTGCCCTGCTTAAGTCTGGTCATACTCTTTGCCGAAGGCCTACATGTTAAGCCAACATTCTCAAAGTCAAACCATGCTTCCATTCATCACTTAAAGCATTCCCTGCTTGGCCCAGTCTTGCCCCAGTCAGCTCTCAGTCAAGGGTCGCAAACCATGAGATCGCCTTTCAAACGCTCCATCTGAAAGAAACCAAAGCGGCCCACCACATAGCCCACCATCAGGTTCACGAAGTGGTACAAGGAGAACCTCAAGGCCAACAACGGGCTTCGGCACCGGCACCGACACGTCCCATCCACTTAAGAATGCGAAAGACATGTCAAAAGTTAAAACTCAACAGAGATATATGCATACCCTTTCTGCGTTCTAGTTCGGATGCGTATCTGTGGGTTTGCTCTTCGAGGCTGGCCTTTCTTCATTTCAGCTTGATACGTCTATCAAATGACTGAAGTTGTACTTCTTGAAGGGGGTCAACCTGCCAAAGTTCGTTCCAATGTACTTTTGCCAACGAATTAGCACACAGTAAGCCATCCCTTCTCACTTTCGACCGAACCACTCACTCAGCACGTCTCGCTCAGCTTAGTGGCCCCAAGCCAATTCCGAGGAGCTTCACAAGGGGCAAGACCAAATAGTTGGACAAGGCCTGGATCGGGTCCCACCGGGTCCGGGTCCCCGGTTTGGTCGAGTGCTGAAAAGCCGTCGGATGGCACACTAAGCAGTCGGATGTGCCATCCGAGAACCTGAACATGCAGGTGATGCTGCAGAGATTACAAAGAACTATTCGCATGTCCGTGTTGGGTGGCAATCAAAGATACCAGCAGAAAAAATGCAACATAGGTATGTAATGTATGTGAAGAAACAAGAGCCTCATCTCAAACCGTTTGAGAATTCTCGAGATGTGTCACATCCAGTGCGTACTGCGTACGTTCGACATCCTGAGTCTCATGGCCCAAAGTGCACCACCAAAGACGATCAGAAGGCACTCATTGTCCTGGAAGACAATCAGAGGATATCAGAAGGTACAGAAACAAGACGTGCTGGTCGAATGACACATCCTGATCTCCTTAAAGTACTTAGGTTGCAACTTACCGTACCAAGCACGGTCAGTGTGTCTTTGTGCTACTGCACTGTTCACTTCTTCAGAGCAGAAGTGTAGATCTGTACAGTTCTCCAAGACTTTACAAATACCTTTGCTAAACGGGGGTCGAGGGTCAGCTGGTCCAAGGTATATCTGTTGATAAAACATAATGTTGCAAAAAATTGCTCAAAGAAGGAGACAATCAAAACTGCCCTTTGACAGGACCAGGTGACCCATGAAGTCTCACTCCTAGATCCCTGCAATGTCACTGACCAGCTCGACCCCCGGTCGAGAAGCCTCAAAAATGCGGCCACCGAGGCTCCGCAGCACCGGCTGGCTGCTCAGAGGTAGCAATCTCTTTGGTCCCGGTGGAGGCCGTCATAAACGTTGCCCAACACAAAGCCAGTGGAGCTATTCCGAGGCACATCACTCCACAGCCTCACCACCTCCAACGGACATCTAGTTCCCAGTTCGGCATGCTCTCTGCTCAACTGGTATTGATTTAGGTCATCTCACCCCTTCTGGTGACTCTGGTGCTTCTGAACACCCAATTTAGGACAATGAATGTTGCTGTACCAAAGGGAAAACCTGGACCACCAACAATTGGGAAATCATGGGAAATCAATCAGCCCTCCCTTCGGCTGGTTACAAGAACGTCCTCTCGAACTTATCACCAAGGATTCTGGAAAACGTTCTTTGATATGACTACGCCAGGTACCTCTCTTCGAAGACAGTCTTCCTCCATGTGCGCGATGTTCACACGCACGGCAATAATTTGTCCATCTTCCAGAAATAGCATCGGCGCTCGGTATTTGGTAAAGTCAATCAAACGCCCAGCATGGACTTCATGCGTCCAGAACTTGCCCATTGGTGAATTTTCTGGCAGTGGAATGAAGTTTGACAAGCGGGCCTCAGTTGCTCTCCTCAACGCGATTCTCAACAATTGCAAACTTGCATAACAGTGCTTATTATCGAGGTCTAACCCTTTCTAATCCCAACATCAGGTGTCTTCGCTGCTAGCCTGATATAGCCTGGGTCATCACGTCGCTACCTCAACTGACGAGGTCTGCGACCGCTGGATGGGACCTTCGGATCGGATCGAAAGCACCTCCCGCACGGATCGGCTTGCAGAGCCCGAGCGCGGATCACGAAGCATGAGGAAGAGAGGATAGGAAAGACAATGGCCCAAAAAGAAGTTAAGAGATGCCAGAATCTACATACGTAGAATCTAGACACAGGCCGTTGATGGCCTTTCTTTTGGGACCCATGAATGAACACCAGTTTCGAGTCTGCCACCCAGGTGCGGAAACCAGAGTCACATCCTCAGGAACCATCTCGGCGATTTTCTTCAACATCTCGAAGCCGGGGTTGCTAAACATGGACCAGGGGCACTGCAGGTACAGCAATACACGACGAAGCTTTGGCGTGCTGTGATGTTCCGGGAACCAGTCGGAGACATTCACACGGCGGTCCTCCAGGATTTGCCAGAAGGCTCATTGATGAGATTGAGGGTCAAATGCAAATATTCATATGTTTTCGAAACTTTGGGCTGAAACCCACACTAAACTGTATCATCCAACAAGTAATCAGAAAAAAAATGGCGTCATGTGAGCAACCTTCAAAATGAACGTTCCAAATTTAGCCGCTGCCGCTTGAGGCTTAGTTTATGGGTTTCCGGTCTCGTTGTCCCAGGATTTGCACCAGTTTAGTTACTATGCTCTGTTTCTTCACAAGGTGACTTAGATTACCACTATACTTTTCAGCCTGACGCACAGCACCACAAGTGCTCGGCACAATCGATTCTGATCTCTTGTCCAGGGTATTTGGTCCGATGTCTATGTACTTGCCATTCTACACCCTCAATACCCTGAAGACAAGACAATTGAAAAGGAGTCCCAGGAGGGGGCTTTGTTTTTGGGTTTCCGGCGTTGTTTTCCAAGCCATGTGCAAATGTTCATTCCAAAGTGTCCACTTTATGTAACCACTTACCGGTAAGATTTTGTGGCTCGTGTGTGTTTCACATTACCAACGGCCAAGGGCTTTTGTGGTTGCAAAAAATATGATATGCACAACCTATTGTATTATAGATATGTATACAGAGAGAGAAAGAGAGAGAGAGAGACAGACAGACCCAGACAGACCCAGACAGACCCAGACAGAACCAGACAGAACCAGACAGAACCAGACAGAACCAGACA